CGCTGCCCACCCTCTCCTTCCGCTTTGAGCTTCCGCTGGCGATGCTCTCCATGCTCGGCGGCGCCGACCAGCCGCAGCAGCTGGCCCTCGTGACGATGCACCGCCTTCGGCTGACCTACGAGCGGTGCGGCGACGGCGCGACCTCGCTGGAGGCCGCGCTCGAGGCGCTGATGATCACCGACGCCATGAACGACGGCCAGCGGCTGCTCAGCTCTCTGAGCACGGTGGGCGGGCTCATCGACGACTCGCCAGCAGAAGGCAACGACGAGATCGTGCAGCTGCAGTACCTGCGCTCGGCGGCGGGGGCGGCCGACGAGCTGCACGTGCGCTTCAACCGGCTCCACCTCGAGTGGAACCCCGCCACCATCACCGCGCTCCTCGCCTTCTTCCGCTCACCCGCCGCCGGAGCCGCGGCCGCTGCGCCGCCCGACGCCGCATCGCTCGGCGCTCCTGCGGCGGCGGCGGCGGCGTCGGCGGCGGCGGCGGCGGGGACGGCGGCGGGGACGGCGGCGGCGGCGGTGGCTCCCGCGGCGGACGGCGAGCAGCGCGCCGGCGGCCTGCGCGTGCTCGCGCAGCTGCAGGCACTAAGCGTGAGCCTCAACGTGCAGGGCGGCGCGGCGCAGCAGCTCGGCGTGTTTGCGATGCGCGAGCTGGTGACGGAGGTGTCGTTCCTGCCCGAGGGCGGCATGTCGGTGAGCGGTCAGCTGGGCAACTTGACGGTGCAGGACACGTCCACCGTGGCGGGCGGCGAGTACGAGATGCTCGGCCTGCGCGAGGGCGCCCAATCGCTGCTCACGTTCGAGTACGACTCGCCGGCGGAGGAGGCGCGGGCGGCGGCGCGGGCGGCGTTGCGTTGCGACACGTCGCTGCGGCTGCGGATGAGCTCGGTGCGCGTGAGCTACTGGCACCCGGCGGTGATGCGCATCGTCGGCTACCTGCAGGAGGGCGTGCTGGGCGCGCTGATGAGCGCGACGGCGAGCACGGTGGTGCAGGTGGCTCGGTCGGTGCTGGCGGACGGCGCCGAGGACGCGTCTGCGATCGCGCTCGACATCGAGGTTGGCAGTCCGCTCGTCCTCCTGCCCTTCGAGCCCGACTCGTCGGATGGCTTGCGCGGCGACCTGGGCAGCATCGCGGTGCACAACTCGCTGGAGCGCCGGACCGCGGCCGGGCCGGGGGGTGGTGGCGCCGAGCTGCTTGACTGCATCGTGGTCGCGATCGAGCGCATGCAGCTGTCTGCGCTGCTGCCGGAGGGGGAGGGGGCGCTCGAGGCGACGGGCGGGCTGTCGCAGATGATCGAGGACGTGTCGCTGCGGCTGTCTGTGGAGCGCGGCGTCGGCGCGAGCGCTGGCCGCGCGACGCTCATCTCGGGGAGCGGGAGCGAGCTGGTGTGCACCTGCTCCAAGGCGCAGTACGACCTGCTCATGGGCGTCGTCTCCCGCAACCTCGCCGGCGGCGGGGACGCGGCCTCCGCTCCGCCGCCTGCCGCGGGCGGGGAGGAGGCTTCCACAGAGCGGGCCGCCGCTGCCGACAGCGCCGCTGCCGCGCAGCCGCAGCCGCCGTCTCAAGAGGAGACCCCGGCGCCGCCTGCAGCCGCCGCAGTTGTCCGCAGGCTAGACCTCGTCCTTCCGGCGGTGGAGCTGGCCCTCGAGGACGGAGGCGGCCCGCTGCTGCTGGCGTGGATGGGTGGCGTCCGCATCGGCGCGCGCCAGAGCGCCGACTCGGCCGTGTACAGCGTCTCGAGCGCGGCGCTCGCCGTCCAAGACTGCCGCGGGGACGGGTACCCGTCGGGGCGAGGGACGCGGCCAGCCGACTCGACCGGCTCGCGGCTCAAGAGGCTTCTGTGGTCCGACCCTGCGGCGGAGCCGGCCGCCGCCAGCTCGGCGCAGCTGTCGGTGAGCCACTCGGTCGAGAGGTTGCCAGGCCGCGGCCACGAGGCGACCACGGTCGTCTCAGTCTGCGGCGCGCGCGGCACGCACGCGGCGGCCGCCTGGTGTGAACAACTTCACTCATGAGCGAGTCAGCGAATCAGGCGTGCACATCACGTACGCGGCGAGCGCCTTTCGGGCGGCGGCGGACTTCTTCTCGCGCAGCGAGGGCGGAGGCGACGGCTTGCTCTCGGCGGAGGAGGAGGCGGAGGCGCTCGCGAGGCCGCTCTCCGGCCCGATCGGCGCGGTCGCCTCCCCCATGGTCTCCCCCATGGTCGAGCGGCTCGTGAGTCTGCCTGAGGAGGAGGAGGGGGCGGCCCTCGCCCCCAGGGTGAGAAACCCGGCGGTTCTCCTGTTGCCCCCCCTTCCCCCCCTTTCCCGCCCTCCCTCCCCCTCTTCCCTCTCCCTCTCCCTCTCCCCGCCCGCCCGCCCGCCCCCCCCCCTCTCTCTCTGCCGACGGGCTGCGGCGGCGTCTCCTCACACACGGGCCGCCGCGTGGTCCAGGTGTTGGTTCTCTCTCTCGAGGCGAGCGAGGCGCCCCTCCCCGCTAGACCCTTCTCCGAGACGGCGGCGGCTGTGAGCGGCGCCTCTCCACACCTGCTCCTGTGAGCAGGTCTTCCTCCCTCTTCACACCTGCACGCTGTGAGCGGCGCCTCTCCACACCCGCTCCTGTGAGCAGGTCTTCCTCCCTCGCGACCCGTCGCTCGACAGCACGGGCGGCATCGCCCTGCGAGGCGCCGCGTCTGGCGCGGGCGCGGCCCGCCGTCGGGCGAGTCCACACCTTAGCCCACGCGGAGCGGCGGGTAGGCGCCATCTGCGTCAAGCGGCGCGGCTCGGGGCGCGATGTGCAGGTCGACGCGGACGCGCTCGACGTGCATCTCCTCGTCTGCGACGCGGTCGGCGAGCAGACGACGACTGTCCTCGCGCCGACCCAGATGTCGCTGCGCTTCAGCGGCGGGCCGCGCCGCTCGGAGCTCGCACGCTGCGGAGGGCGGCGCAGAGGCAGTGCCGCCCCTCCCCCCGACGCCTCGCGGAGCCGCGCTGTCTGTAGGAGCTCAAGCTGCGAGCCGAGTCGCCGGTCGAGTGTTGCCTCTCCTACTCGGACTGGACCCTCTTCACCCAGATCCTGACCGCCCTCTCCCCCGCCGGCCAGCCGCCGCCAGACGAGGGCGCCGCGCCGCCGCCGCCGCCGTCCTCGCCGCGGGCCTCGCCGCCGGGCGCCCCCCCTCCTCACCCCCCCCCCTCCACCCCCTCCCCTCACCCCCCCCCTCGCCACCCCGGCTGTGCGGCGAGACGGCCCCGAAGATCAAGTCGAGGTCGACCTGAGAGTAGGGCCCGCCACTCCGCCCGACTCTGCCGCGGCGACCCTGTCGCGAGGCGCCGCCGCCGGCGTGCAGCTGGCCGTGTCTGCTGAGCTCGAGAGCCTGCGTGTGGTTGCGATCAACGACCTGCACGGGCGCGCCGAGCCGCTCGCCGCGCTGACGCTCACGTCGGTGGTCGCGTCGTGCGCCGGCAGCGACGCCAAGCTCGTCGTCGCTTGCAGCGCGTGCGCCCCCGCGCCTCCGCACGACCCGCGCGAGGCGTGAACGG